AAAAATAACGCGATACCCCACAAAGTTGATTACGTTTTGATGATGGATGCAAAATTTTCCGGGGAACTGGGTATCATTTCGGGGCCGGTGTGGAGCGAGTGTCTGTTTCTTCTAACTTCCCTAGGACCACGTTGATGGGTGATGATTATGAACATCAACGTATGATTTGTCTTATTTTTTTATCTGGGGTTTATTTTATCAAGCTTTTTTTCGTCCCCTTTTACATGGCATTTGATTTTGCGATACCTTTGCATATCTCTTTATGTGACCTAGAGACCCGTGACCTAGAGACCCAAGAGGGCAGACATTATATACATACAACGTACTCCGTATCCGTACGGAGTACGGCTTTGAGTGAATTGCGGGGGAATATTTAGCGTACATATGTATGTGGTCTTTGTACTCCGTAGTCCTTGGCAAACCCAGTCTAGTCTCGTGGCTTAGCTTGGGTTATCATCGCCATGGAATCTCCACTTCGTATGCCAACCTTACGAACCTTGGAAGCTGGACATTTCCAATTTGATGAAAATGGGGATTTTATTGTGACATTGAAATAAATCGAGGGTCCTGACCTCGTAAAAAGAGAGCCAAGGTGAGATAAGAATCAAAATATAAAAATATAAAATAGAAGACATGGATATGGCATGCTCCATTCCATGGTTCTTTTGCCATCGTACCACGGGTTGGCCTATCCCCCCGCACATTGCCCCACCAGCGAAAATAGCCCAAAAGAGGCGGGAATGAATCTAACGGCTTGCCTCTCAGGAACAACTTGCCTCGGGGATGTCCCTGGATCGGAGACCTTAAAGTGGGTTTGAGTCTGAGGGGCGTCGAATCCATCGACTTCATTTTGTCCTTCTGTTCCAGGCGTCGTCAGCCGAGGGTGGGCTTTGGTCTCACATCAGATGGGTCTGTGCCATGACACTGTATCGTACATAGAAACTAGTACAATATACACAATATACTCCAGAGTTACCCAAGAAGAAGATATAGAATAATAAGAAAGCGGCATTTGAAAGTAGATGCATGTATATACCGGTGCCTAGTACTGATAGGTGGGGACCGATAAGCAGATAACGTAGAGGAGGGGAGTACGGAGTACTTGCGTAGTACAACGTCTGCTATGAGATGGTTGGGTCAATACCAGGTTTAGTAGATGTATTGCATTCCCTTCCGCTCTGCATTCCGCCATTTCTTGTTTCTCTTTGCATATCCTCTCTCCCTTTCTCAACTTCCCCCTCCCATTCTCTGTATCTTCTCTTTGGTCCTCTTGGTTCTCTCGGTTCTCTCGGTTTTCTGTACGGCATCTTTGCCGAAAAGCTGTTCCACGGTTCTTTGGCCGTGGGCCCCGAGAAGAACAATAACGGTCAACGTGATTTCCCCACCCACCGATATTCCGATCACTTCCTCCCTCTGCTCTTCTATTCTAAGTGCTGATCCATATCCAAAAAGACCGGTTATCGCTGAGATTTAGCACTATGCTCATCTAAGAGCTTCCGGTGACTGCGCGCCCGTCGCTCTATCCGTTTCCACTATCCTCCGTCGTTATTATTTCTCGCGTGACACTCCGTACCGTGCCGACACCCTCCGGAAGGCGTGACAAAATAGTACTGGGCTAGAGAATAGGTGCTGCAGACTGAACTAAGTCGCCAAGATGGCCTCCCAACTATCCGACGAGATCCTTCCTTCTCCGGGGAGTATCTCTCCGAACAGCCCGACCAATGCGGCAGGCCAGATCCCATTAGAGCAGCCGCCGAAACTCAAGGGTCGTCAGAAGTTACTGCAGAGCCTCCAACGCATGTCCTCCAGCCCGACGCTCACCCGACGCGGACGCTCCTCGTCAACCAATAGCTACCGTCGGGACCATAAGGCTTCTCTCTCTTGTGTCTCGCTATCGTCGCCTTCCTACTCGCCCTGTCTAGGCAATGGAAGTTCCTCGCAGCTCTATGGCGGCCTCAATCCCCGTCCCGCTACTCCCGGTTGCTCCAGTTCTCCCGGCGAGCCCCAAGGAACCAACGCTCGCATCCGTTTGATGGACACCGATGGCCCTGGGTTCACTACGCCTCGCACTGTTCCTTTGCCCTTTGATGTGAGGCCAGCGTCGCGTGGATCTCCACGCACCGCGACGCCGGTGGGAGTGAAGTTTGAGGAGGTCATCCGTCAAGAATCCCAGCCGGTCAGAGCTCTTGATTTTTGGGGCGATATGCCACAAGAGCTTAAGACGCGCATCTTCCAATACCTCACCCCGCAAGAAATTGTTCGCTGCTCCGCTGTGTCCAAGACGTGGAATGAAATGTGCTACGACGGACAATTATGGTCCGAGGTTGATACGACCGAGTACTACTCTAAGATTCCAAGCGATGTTTTGGTCAAGCTTATCACTTCTGGTGGTCCATTTGTCCGAGACCTCAATCTCAGAGGCTGTGTTCAGATGCGTGAGAAATGGTCCTCGGACGGAGAACGTATCTCGGATCTGTGTCGCAATGTCGTCAAATTCTCGCTTGAGGGTTGTCGCATCGATAAGGCATCCATCTACTCTTTCCTCCTTCGTAATCCCCGTTTGGAATACATCAATCTTTCTGGTCTGTCGAGTGTCACGAACTCGGCCATGAAGGTCATTGCACGGTCTTGTCCGCAACTTGAGACATTGAATGTTTCTTGGTGCAGTAATGTTGATACCACCGGTCTTCTTCGGATTGTCCATTCCTGTGAGCGGTTGAGAGATCTTCGGGCCAGCGAAATTCGTGGATTTAAAGACGAGAAATTCACTTCGGCCCTGTTCGAGCGCAATACATTGGATCGTTTGGTTATGAGTCGTACCGACCTGACTGATCAGAGTCTGAAGATCCTGATTCATGGCGAGAACCCCAATATGGATATTTTGACCGATCGGCCTATCGTTCCACCTCGAAAATTCCGTCATTTGGACTTGCACCATTGCTCTGAAGTGAGCGATGATGGACTGAAAAGCCTGGCCCATAACGTTCCAGATTTGGAGGGCCTGCAAGTTTCCCAGTGCTCCGAGCTAACCGATGCATCTGTCACAGACGTCATTCGCACGACGCCAAAACTGTCGCATTTGGAACTGGAGGATTTGGAGAACTTGACAAACAGCACCCTGGTGCGGCTGGCTGAATCTCCATGTGCCCAAAACTTAGAACACTTGAACATCAGCTACTGCGAGAGTCTCAGCGACACAGGAATGCTCCGAGTGATGAAGAACTGCCCGAAACTCAAATCCGTCGAAATGGACAACACCAGAGTGTCAGATCTGACCCTGATGGAAGCCAGCTTCCGCGTCCGCCGCCGCGGGTACAGCGACGAGGTCCCTCAAGTCGGATTACGACTCATGATATTCGACTGCGCCAATGTCACCTGGGCAGGGGTCAGGGAAGTCCTTTCCAGCAACGCATACATCCCGCGCGCCTCCCGCAAACCCGTTTCAACGGTGGTGACCGTGACACAAACATCAGATGCCGGCTCCTCCCCGGCGACAAGTACCTTCGTCACTCCAGCCTCCTCCCCTTCGCCGTCGCCAGCGCCAACTTATCCCAACGAAATCATCCAGCTGAAATGTTTCTACGGCTGGCAGATGACCGTCGACGAACACACGAAACGTGTTCTGCGCGGCGATCTCGCTGCGGCATCCCGGCTGGACCGGAAATGGACCGAATACATGGTCGCCACTGAAGAGGCTGGCGCTGCTGGTGCTGGTGCTCGCCGGCGTCGACGTCGTGCCCGTGAAGCCGAGCGTCTGTACAATGAAGACGAAGACGAGAACGATGCTTATGGCGTAGGCGCTATCTCTGCTCTTGGCGGGAGACGCAGAAGAGCTCAGAGCGGTGGTGGCTGTATTGTCATGTGAGGTGAATATCTCTTGAAATGTCAGTACCATGGCTTTCTCTTCCATTCGGTGTGTTCTGGAACACCCGACGTTCGAGCTAGACGTAAGACGCTGCTCGACTCTGCTGGCGCAGGATCGCTGGCATTTCAAATGGACGATGTCTGTTTGAAAATTGACGATCATATCCTATGATCATTTTCAACTTGCTATGAATTACGCACGATACGAATTTCCTTTCTGGGACAACACATCCCCAATACAACTCGCTTTCTTTCGCTTTTAGCTTGTCTTTTTTGGCCTTCTCTCTCTCCCTCCCTCTCTTTTCATATTTATCTACCACCTATCGTCACATCTACCCACATCCACCACTCTCCTCGGTTTTAGCTATAGCGCCAATGTCCAAGAATGGGCTTTCTTTCCTGCATGTTCAATGAGCTTTTTATGTGTTCACATCTTTTACCAGATCGAGATGTTAGCTCTAGCATACGGATCTAGAGGGGTTACTGGCGAGATGATTGGCGTTTTTAGTTCTTTGCTATCAATTTATCTTGGGCGTTTCAGTTTGAAATTTATGCTGCCTGTCGAGCTACTTTTATGACACTTTAATTTCAATTCATATCCAGGTAGAATATTCAGCCCAAAAAGTATATGGCTATATAATTTCGTGAGTTGGTCCTCTATATTATCATTAGTATGGATCAGGGACTTCTGACTTACTTTCCGAGATAGTGTTTGTTCTCGAGTTACCTGATTGCACCCTTTGAACCCAATTCTCTTGCATCTTGTAACAGCCTGAATATCAAGATTTTCAAAGCAAGCAAGTAGACCTTAGATGAGGATAATCCCCTTTGAGAATGGTAGAAACACTAGTGTTAAGAATATTGTAAGAACAATTACAAAGCACAGTGACTGACCGCGTGTCACTGGAAATAAAGAAAAGCAAGAAAAAAGAAAGCACATCGTGGAAGGACGACATAAGAATAGTATCGTAATCCCCCAATGCCATAACCGAGATAAAAAATAAGTAACCCTTGGGATATATCACCTCCCCTCTGGTATCCCATAAAGGTACAGTCGATCTCATTTCTGACACCATTTTCACCTTTTTTTCCTCTTTTCGGTTTGAAGGTAAGTCACAAGCTGCTGTGTGATCCAACTACCCAGTACAGGGTTGGCCGGGTGCGATTTGCTCCACCTCGAGCAGGTCAACGGTCTGAATGTTGCCAGCAGATGTATTGGTCACTGCCTGTCCGATTTCAGAATCCTCAGTCATCAGTTCCACGTCGGAAGGCTCAGCAGTCGTAGCAGCCTGGATCGCAGTCTCTGCAAAGGGGATAGTAGTAGTGCTAGTCTGCTCTTTGGACTTATCAGTGGATTCTTCAATCGGATCGTCGATATTCATGTCCACATCGAGCTCGGCGTTCACCACGCTACTGGAAGTGGCGGGTTGTTTTTCCTCAAGGCCAGGGGGGGTAATTTCGGGGTCTTTTGAGACCTCTTTCTTGGCCTCTTTCTTCACCTCTTCCATGACCTTCTCAATGGCCTCTTTTTGGATCTCCTCTGCGACCTGCACTGGACCTTGCGCTGGGACCTGCGCTGGCACCTCAACTGGGCTGTCAATCTCCATATTTACATCCAATTGGGGTACAGGCTGAGTCGTGGTGGGCTGATTGCTACTGCTAGCCACTTCACCACTCTTTCCAGCGAGTTCCTCAACTTCCATGTCGTCATCTGAGTCCGTCTCCTCATCTAGCTCATCATCCTCATCCAACAGATGGTTGCCGTATGGCCTGGCGAGATATTTGTAGTCGACATCTTTAATACCCTGGCTGGTGAAGAACTCCTTCGGGATGGTAGTTGGCTTCACACCACGCTTCACAGGTCCACAACAAACGTTATAACCCAAGGCTCTCCACAGTCTGCAGACTTCAATCTCGTCGGTACCCAGGTTCGGAAGAACTGCGCAGAGATGATGCTCCGCAGCCACAACATCACGATTCCAGGCCTTGCACCTGTACTTCGATTCATTCTCAGAACCACGAGGCTGATGCTGCGTCATCTGGCGAGTGATAGTGTGGGGAATCATCACGGCAGAATCAGGCGCTATGACAGCTCCAACAGACAAGATCGGGTTGGCTTGCATGATCTCTTTGTTCTTTTCATGGAGCAACCAGCCGATACAATCAGCGTGTGCGCGTCCACAAAGGATATAATACCCCTTGTATACCGGGAAGAAAGGGAGTCCATGGGCCCAGATGATGGGAGCAGGTCCTGAAGATACGCGTTCAGGCTTAATGTGGCCCATGGCATCAAAATCATAGGAATATTGTCGGGCCCGATCGCGGGCGGTCATGAACTTCACCGCTAGATAAACTAGCTCGTCTGAAAGTCGGTTGTTGGCTGGAGGGAATTCCCATTCACTGGTTTTTTCGTTGTATTCGACATCCAGGACCAGTTTGAGCTGAGCTTCTTCTTGCTTTGTGGTAGGGTACCTTCCGAAGCTGTCTTCGGGTGTCCACACAACATCAGGACCCAATTTGAGATGGCATGCGAGGATACTTGAGCACTGATCTCGCAGAGTTTTCTGCTGCTTGATGAAGGATGCTTCATCTGCAGGGCTGCAAGCCATTCGGGCTTCTTTGGCTGGGCTTGGAGGCATCTTTCTTGGCTTTGTTTGAAAGATTTTTGACTGGACGATATGTGTTCGGTTAGTCAAAAGCTCATATGATTAGATGTATATCTGGTTGATCAAAGTGATAGGAGGGAAGGTTAACAGTTTCAATTGATCGACGAGAGCTTAGATGAGTGAATGTGTGGCTTACGGTGAGAAGATAGTTGAATCGTGAAAGTCTGAATTGTTTCTGAAGTTCGAGGTATGAAGGAGGCTATGTTATAGATAAAGGAGTCAATGAGTGTCAAGCCGCCGTTTGTGGGAAGATAGATTGTCAGGTGAACATGAACACAACATAAGAATAGAGATCAAACGATGAAAGGGATCATTCAACAAGATATCTTACCTGTAGTGAGCAGTGAGGTCACAATGAAATGGTGAAAAGTATGAAAGTTGAGGTACAACGCAAAGTAGATGGTAGATGATAGAGAAGTTATGAAACAATGCAGAAAATCTGGATGCGCAGAGAGCTGCAACTGCGATGGTAGGTAGAGATAGGAGTGAAGTCTAATATAGGTAGCAAAGAAGTTGTACGAGTTTATCTGATGCTCGCAGCTCGTGGAATCAGATCAGATGATAAATGTGAAAGACTGATATGGTTAGCCCTATACTACTTTGAAGCATTGACTCTGATGGGAGACCAGTCCGGCGGGTGTTCAGATAGTGGAGAATGGCAGAAGTAGCAATGTGAAGATCTGGAATGTAGATTCATTTGTAGAGAAGACGGTCAGTGAGGTTGATCCTGAAGCTAGATCAATGCTATGGATGTTTGGATGGTGTAGATTGGCAGAAGTGTGTATGAAATAATGTCAAGGTCTGAAAAGTAGAGCCAATGAGGTAGATTGGTACGCAGTGAAGTGAAGATGAGCGATGTATGCAAGTTATACCTAATTATTTACCTACCATGCTCACTGGGGGGTTGCCGAGGATATTATAGTGACTTCCATGGAGCCATTACAACATGATTGAACAGCCACTGATGCATATAATAGTCAAGAGTAGTTGGCTGCGTATGCGGCATCTATCATTAACGACTTAGGCCTTTAATAATACAATTTACCTCTTTGACTAAAGATGATATTAGGGACATTATATGTAAGATATAACTCAAAGGGCTTCTTGAGTATTATTTTCAGATATCTTTCTATGTATTTATTTAGGTATCACTCCTTAATATATACTTTTATCGGTATTATAATTTCTATAAGGATAATGAAGTATGACAGAATGGATTTCATAATATGTACAATATACGAGGGCTGTAAAAATCATAAACTTATGTATAACCTTTGATGGTGTTTTTTATATAACAAAAATGATTGATTTCCGCTTAACAATCTAGATGAGCCCATCAGTCCACCACCTAGGGATATACAACACAGGCATTGAGGCATCAGATGGAGAACACAGTACAGCATTTTGGACAGATATGGATTCATTGGTTTGCAATATAATGTATAAAATGCTAGTGTGGATATCAAGACAAATAAGACATAAACCAATCCTGCATCAAACTTGTGAATTGTTTACTCAAAGAAACCACCATCGCTATCATCTTGGTCCTCTGTATTGGCTGGTTGTGGTGCCTCGTGTTTCTTGGAGGCCCGCTCGCTGCGTGCAGGTTTCTCCTTTTTGCTGCTCTTCTTGTCATCTTTGGAAGCATGCTTCTCCTTTTGGGTAGGAGCCTTGGTCTCTTTAGTCTTGCTCTTCTCCTTGTGGGCATCTGTAACTGTAGTTGTGCTAGACGACGAAGTTTGGATCTTCTCTCCATTGGCGTTGATGTGCAACTTTCCTTCACGAAGAAGATCCAGGGTCTTTTCTTCCATGCACTTCTCAATAACAGACCACAACGGGGGCTTGGCATCGTCGGATTTGGTTTCCTGCTTTTGCAATTCTGATCCTGGGTCCGTTGCATCGGGTTTTCCATTGGGGTAGATTGAAATGTATTTTTCGGTGAGAGGATAGTAGATCGCGTAGTTGATGTTCACTTGGCATGTGTGGATTTTTGCCGCGAGACGAGCCTTTTGTTTCGAATCCAGATCTTCCTCCTTCTCGCGGCGAGTAAGTCGGTTGAGTTCCTTGATAGCAGTTTTGCGGTCTATTCAGGAAAAAAAAAGTGTGTTAGCGAGAACTTATGACAATTCAGACTTATCGGCCACATACCAAGGAATCGGACAAAGTGATATTTCTTGATCAATGATGACCGTTCTCTGCGTGTAGTTTCGTCCGCAAGATCTTGCTCATATCCAGCAAGCGCGCGTTCCTGCAAGATGCGAGCATCGGCAGACAGGTCCATTTTGTTGAGTAGTCGCTTCACATCGCGAATTCGCTTTTTGAGATCATTGATTGATGGGTATTCCTTTTCGGGTTTGGGAGCAAATTTGTCCTTGTATTTCCGGGTCACTTTGGGCTTCGATGCATCGCCTTTGCGGCTGTAGTCTTCGAATTGGACTTGGTCGTCTGCTTTGTCTGCCTTGCGGTGCACCTTTTTGCGGGCCGGGGGAACATCCTCTGACCCATCACGGGTCTTCCTCTTTGAGGGAGCTTCCCGATCGCGGTGGCTTCGAGTGTCTGTAGACATGTTTGTTGGTCTAAAAGAAAAGGAAAGAAAAAAAAGAGGTCGAAGCTACAGCAAAAACGATAAGAAAAAAAGATATCGGCGGATTTATCGGCCCGTCCCCCCAGATTGGCGCCCAACCAATGAGCGTCTTCGTGGATCACCATCGCCGCGGCCCTCTCTCGTCGCATTGATTTGATTTACTCCAATTGTCCGCTTCAATTTGTCTATCTGACAGTTTAGATCTACTCATGATACTGAGTAAATTACTGAACCAAATTTAGTAAAAGGGCCAGCATGGAGTCTGCCATTCGCTGGTCCCCGACCTCGTCGGCCACTGAACAACGCTTCCTGTCAGTCGACGTCACGGGGAAATCATTTCGTCTGTGTAGGGTGACTGGTTTTGATGGCAAGTATCTGCGCCATGAAGTGCTCTCTACCCTGACCAATGTGCCTGGATTCCGCGCATTCGACTGGTCTAGTTCAAATGAGAACCTGATCGCTGTGGGCCAGTCCTCTGGCGAGGCCACCATCCTACGCCTCGATGGGGATGCCAAGGAGTCTCTTTCATTCCCAGTTCGCAACCAAAGGTACTGCAATGCAGTTGCGTTTAGTACACACGGTCTTGTGGCATCGGGCCTAGATCGCGTTCGGAACGACTTTTGCCTGAACATTTGGGATGTCAACCAACGACTTAGTCCTGCTGGTGGAAGTAGGGGATTTACCGAGCCCTTGCGGAAGCTCGCCAGCTCAGAGCCTATTACCAGTATCAAGTTTTTCCGAGACCAGCCTGATACGATTGTAACTGGCGTCAAAGGCCAGTTTGTTCGGATCTATGATCTAAGAGGTTTGTCTTTCTTGGCTATATCTATGAAATCATAGCTAATTTTGTAACAGAGGGACTTGGCAACCCATCATTACAATTTCCCACTCGATGTGTCCACAATCTGGCCATTGATTGGCTGGATGAGAACTATATCGCATCTTGCATTCCATCAAACGAAAGCACCATCTGCGTGTGGGACCGTCGCGTTGGATCTCGACTGACATCTCCCTCAATGGGCTCTTCTGCTAGCGCCCAAGAATCAGGTTACGCGACGCCTGCTTTGGAACTTAAAAATGTTTTCCACCCGAAGTCCTCCATCTGGAGCTTGCGCTTTTCAAGGACGAACCGAGGCAGTCTCTCTGCGCTGTCTAGCAGCGGTCATTTCAAGAATTACGATATTGCCAAAGACTACTTGCCGGAGGAGTATCGCTCTTCGATAGACGAGACTCTTGGTCAGGGATCTTCCAGAAATTACCCGGAATCGGTATACACTAAGCACGTGCGGGACGTATGCGTACCATTTGATAATCCGACTCGTGGCTGCAAAGAAAAAGACCGGGTTGTTTCATTCGATTCCCTGAGTCTTAGCTTGTCTCCTCAACCAAGTGCCATCGCACTCGACGGTAATGGACGGCCCCAAATTATCACCGCGCGACCGCCGTGCGCACCAATTGATCTATCTTCACGGAGTGTATTGGCCTGTGGCATCTCATCGAATGAGTCAGATGTGCGATCGATTCACCCACTGTCTGAGCACATTTCGCCCATCTCGGACCTGATCGGGACCATTAGATCACGCGTCTGCTCGACCTCGCAAGAACATGGGACAAACTCAAATGGTGAACTGTTCGTGTCAAAAGGTCTTGATTCCGAGCCTGTCCCAAGTCATGAGAACCGAGAACGCGCAATGGCTCTCGGGGTGATGGGTGTCCCCCTCACTGCGAAAGAAGCGCTCACTCTATGCACAATCAACCAGTCCCGGTGCAAAGAGGGTTATTTGTTCGATGAGGCTCAAAATAGAAAGGTAGCATCTGATGATCAAGCTCTACAAGATTTCTGGAACTGGATTGAACGTAAGTTCTTCATTCTTCCTTAGGGGTCACAGCCACATATCTAATACAATTTACAGGTGCGCGAACCGAGTCTTCTGGGACGTCAATGGTTGTCAATGGCTTGGACCTGAATTATCTAGGTGTGAGCAATATTTGGAATAATGACATATGTTTGTTTCTTCACTTTGGTTTTAATTATTTTTCAAAGCTGACTTGAGAACAGGCAATGGTTTCGAAAAACGTTGTATCAACGCTAAGAAGGCTGATGCTAAAGCGGTTGCGGATGCAGTGGAAACGTTGGCAATTCAATTGAACCTCCCCGAGACAACAGGCTGCGACACGGATTTCCCCGATCATCGCCGACTCTGCCTTCGTCTCTGTGGTGCAACGCAATCTTACAGTGAGCTGGAGGAGACTGTGAAAACTTTATCAGGCGAAGACCAGCATACCAAAGCTGCTGCACTGGCTGTCTTCCAAGATGAGCCTAAGCTGGCCTACCTTGGGCTTCGAAGCAACAACCCCACCCAAGCTCATAAATTGCTGGCCATGGCGATCGCCGGTGCCTCCAAGGGGGACAATGACACAGACTGGGAGGAGACATGTGCGGAAATCGCGAAGGAGCTCACAGATCCGTACGCTCGGGCGATCCTAGCCCTTGTGAGCAAAGGCGACTGGAATGCAGTTATCAAGGAAACCACACTACCTCTGAAGTATCGCGTAGAGGTCGCGCTACGCTGGCTTCCAGATGACGAACTAACCGAGTATCTGAAGGAAGCCACAAGCCAAGCAATTAGTCAAGGCGATATTGAAGGAGTGGTGCTCACGGGCTTGGGCCATTTGGCCATGGGTTTATTCCAATCGTATATTGGGAAATTCAACGATGTCCAAACTCCCGTGCTAGCAATGAGCCATACCGTGCCGCGGCTTGTCAGCAATCAAAAACACGTTGTTCAGTTCGAGGCCTGGCGTGAGACCTACCGGCGACAAATGAACTCCTGGAAACTCCAACTCGAGCGAGCCCGATTCGACGTCGGCTCTCGTCGCTTCGCTGTAACTGCGGACGGTCGCAAACTCATGCCGCCACCGCCGCAGCAAGTCAGCCTCACCTGTAACTACTGCACGAGTCCGCTCACCCAGCACGACGCTTCCTCCCATGTCTCCCCATCTAGCAAGAGTGCCGAAAATGTTCATCCCACCGCCGGGAACCCACTGGCACCCACTGTCATGTCTGGGACTGTGTGTCCGCGGTGTGGTCGACATATGCCGCGCTGCGGTGTCTGCACGTTGTGGCTGGGTTCGCCAGACCCAATGTCACGCGCTAGTATTGCTGCTGACGCCGAGGCGGGTTCTCGCAAGCCTACTGAGACTGAGGTGATGCGGCGGTTTGTGGTGTTTTGTATCCATTGCAACCATGGATTCCATGCAAATCATGCGAGTGACTGGTTCAAGCGGCATAAGATTTGTCCCGTGGCAGAGTGTAACTGCATCTGTGATCGATGATGGATGGTCTTGTTGATCTGCATTGCCCCTTTCGTGCCATGGACTAGATGACCTGTCTTTCTGCGATATTCTATACCCAATTAAGTCGATTTATACAAACCAAGAATAATCGGCCGCTTATGCGGCCTTGTGATGTCTTTTTAGCTGGTCTTTTTAGATTTCTTTTTAGATGTATGCAAAGTCAGTGAAAAAGAATACTTTGTGCAAGAAACTTCTCTACGTATAATATGTAAGGAAATGAATTCTTCGAGGCTTCAAACTTTAGAGCCTGGGCTTAATTAGGAAAGATCATGACAGCCTAAAAGAGCCTAGGACAAAAAAATATAAGATCTATAAGAGACCGACTTTGAAATTGAAATCATACCACGACTATTTTCCCGTATGGTACACACATACATGTACTTATGTATAACCATATGTTATACTATGTTATACTATGTAAGGTAAGGAAAGTAAGGTATGGTTCTTTGTAGAGCCGCATCTTATAATATTTGGAGTTGCCCCACCAAAATGTTATTCCCAGTCAACTCCCCTCAACTCCCCTCAAATTTCTTCAATAAAGATGGATCACCCAAAAAACAACAAAGATAAGCGCGGAAGGGGCCATGGTCAAGGCCAAAGTCGCGATGTTCAAGTCTCCAAAGCATTAAGCTTGCTTCTGCGACATGCAGCGGAGAAGGAAGGGCTGAAGATGAACGCACAGGGTTATGCGAGCGTGCCAGACGTGGTATGCAGCTTTGTTCCAAGATCGTTCTAATAACCTGCGATATACTGACTATGTCTATCTCCAGTTAAATTGGAGGAAACTCAAATCGCTAAAAGTCACCTTCCCCGAGATTCTCCACGCCGTCGACTCCTCCGATAAAAAGCGCTTCGCCCTCCTCCACATTCCCTCCGCACAGCCCACCAAATCCACAACCCAAGCAACAACAACACCAGTAACATCCCCCAATGCAGAGCACGATGCCGCTACCATCGTGGGCGAAGACCAGCCCGCGACATCCGTCCTGGACTCTGCACCCGCCACGAGCGAGGCCCAACAAACAGCCACCGATCAAGCATTATCCGTGAAAGATACCGACCCGTCGAACTTTTTGATTCGCGCGACTCAAGGCCACAGCATCAAGACCGTAGATGCTGCCTCTTTCCTTGAGCCACTTTCTTTGTCCGATGAATCGAAACTACCCGATACCGTCGTCCACGGCACGTTCCACGCGACCTGGCCTGCGATTCTACAATCCGGAGGACTACGCTGCATGGGACGGAATCACATTCACTTCGCTACTGGCCCATCATTAGAATCGGTGCTTGCTGTCCACACTGATGATGCCGCGCAGGGTAAATCGAAGCCCGACGACTCACGCGTCATCTCGGGTATGCGGCGCGATGCACAGGTTTTGATTTATATCGATGTGCGCAAAGCGCTGCAAGCTGGGGTACCGTTCTGGCGCAGTGAGAACGGGGTCATTCTTAGTGAGGGCATACCTGTCGAGAAGAGTGAGCAAACTGAAAAAGGCGAGGTGCAGAAGTTTGTCGCGCTGGACTTTTTCAAAGTGGTTGTGGAGCGCAAGGCTGGGCTGGGTAAGCTCTGGGAGAACGGGGAGGTTCTGCAGGAACTTCCGGAGACTCTCACGAAGAAAGGGAACCCCAAGGCCCGGCGATGAGTGGTGGTGATATGGCACTTAGTAGAGATTATCATATCCAGCCGGGCTTTTTGTTGTTCGGTCCGACCAGACGACCAGGAGAATACAAATGATTTTCCTTCCGGTGATCTACAAGTTCATTATGGAATCTATGCTATCTTAAGTTACCCCCACTTTGGACTTAGCCCTAGGTAACCCCGGAGTCTCCAACACTAGAGAGCTGATTATAGGGCTGAGGTGATACGGTCCTACTGAGCTGAAGGGCCCTGGAGTATACCAAACATGCCTCTTACTATAGTACTACATATGCAATCGCGAAGGAAAAAGTAATATAAAAGGTAACTTTTACATCGTATTGAAGGCGAGACTTCGGAAGCTGTTTAAAGCTTGCCCTTGGGGTATAAAACACTACAGCTCATCTACTATAGAAAGCTCTGTCTGTCTTGTATACGAGACTTATATTGAGAGTCCCAGAGACTTAAAATTCATCTAATTTCATTTAGTTATAGTATTAAATATCGAAAATCCCAACCCCTCAATAATTCACCAAGTTCCCCAGGCTCTACCCGACTGCGGGGAAATCGGAAGCGCAACCTCTTCCGAATTCCCCAGCCGACTTGTGAACCTTCTGTACATCCGATGCCACCAACCCCAATCATGCCATTGGCATAGATTTGCGGGGTCATCCTCGAATAACCGTCATGTTTTCGGTCAGATCTAATTGGATCACGGACTTAATGTCCCGTCGGATCACCGTGTGTGGTATATAACAGTCTCGAAGATTTTCAATAATCGCATACTCTTCTCTTATTGAAGTTCTCTCTCCTCCATTCTATATTGTCGAGTCACTCGTACATCTCGCATCGCAATAAACTGACTTACGCGCAACAATGACCACGCACCGCTTCGATCCAGCCTTCACGGACAATGTCATCAACGCGATGGGTCCCAAGACTACCCCACGCCTGCGGAAGCTCATGGCCGGCCTAATCAGACACATGCACGACTTTGCACGCGAGGAGGAGCTAACCGTCGACGAGTGGATGGCCGGCGTGCAGATGCTCAATTGGGCAGGACGCATGAGCGACGACAAGCGGAACGAGGGACAGCTGGTGTGTGATGTACTAGGACTGGAATCGTAAGTTGGAGTCTTGTTCGCGGGGAAGTCAAAAGTCACTAGCTAATATATGATCGTTTTACAACAGTCTCGTCGATGAAATCACCTTCACTCTCGCTGAAGAAGCACAGGATGCGCCCACGGCCACAGCCATCCTCGGCCCGTTCTTCCGCGCTGATACACCATACCGCGAGAACGGAGAGGATATCGTCAAGACGAAACCGGCAGATGCTGAGATGACCTTCATGCACGGTCGCGTTGTGGACTTCCAGACTAAGCAGCCTCTTGTCGGCGCGACGGTCGAGGTGTGGCAGGCTTCTACAAACGGGCTGTATGAGCAGCAGGACCCCGAGCAGGTTGAGTTCAATCTGCGCGGCAAGTTCAAGACGGATGAGGATGGAAAGTACTCGTTTTACTGTCTGCGTCCGACGCCGTATCCAGTCCCTAATGATGGTCCTGCTGGCAAGCTTCTTGAGCTGATGGATCGGCACCCTTTCCGCCCTGCTCATATTCACATTATTGTAAGTTTTGGGGCTTTATCGATATCGGGCTATTGAGATAGAAGCTAATATCTCGTCAAGGCTACCTATGATAACTACCGTCCCTTGACAACACAAATCTTCGACCGCAAGGATAAGTACCTCGACAATGACTCTGTGTTTGCTGTCAAGGACTCGCTCGTTGTGGACTTCGTGCCACGCGAAAATGATCCTCAAGCTGCTATTGAGCTCAAGTACGATGTTAAGTTAGTGAAGTTTGGGGCTAGCACCAATGGCGCAAGAGCGAGCAGCGGCATTAAAGTAGCAAATTTGTGATTTCTGATGTATTATTTAACGATAGCGGCACTGCACATATTGAACATAACCAAAATAACCGTTTATTGTTTTAATGACATATTCATTGTTTCTCTATCTCTCTACGTGGAAGCTCTCTCAAGCATTCACAACATTCGCGAACTTAGCAATTAACTCACCCACCTCATCAGCAGCCTCAATACAATGCCAATGTCCAACCCCCTTCAATACCTCGAGAGACTTCTGCTTACTCGAGACATGCTCAAAGATATGCTGGCAACCCTCCATAGAAGCAGACTTATCCTCCTCGCCCGCAATAAGCAAGAAAGGCGCCTTGACAGCAGCATAGTCCGCCGGCTTCGCAGTAGCAATAGCGCGACACAGCGCAGCATATCCCTTAGGATCCTGACCCAGAATCAACTCCCGGATGAAAGCCTTTTGGAGCGGAGTACTGCGCGAGCCGACAGCTCCAAAGGGAATGGTATTTGCCATTGGCTCGATTCCGGCTGCAGACGTTTAGCGCATGCTTATAGAAACCCGAAAAAGACATGAATAAAATAAAGCCACAGAGTCAGATAGACTCGAATAAGGTAAAACTTACACTCAAGAACAGTCTCCGATCTCTTATTCATGACCGTCACTAATGTATCTGACGGGTGCGTCGGTCCAATCGCTACAACGCCCTGTACTCGGTCGGGATACCGCGCGCCCAGCTCTGTTACTACGAGCCCGCCCATTGAATGGCCGACTACGACGGCCTTGGGGACGTGCAGCGAGTCCAGCACGCCGATGACATCCTCTGCGATGCTGGGGATCGTAACGGTGTCATTGGTGTATGGGGAGCGGGCGGCGCCGTATGTGTCGATTGTGATGCAGCGGTGAAGTTTTGTAAGATGCGGGATTACTGGGTAGTAGTAGTTTTGTGAGGAGCCCAGGCCGTGGATGAAGATGAAGGTTAGGCCGGTTGGGGTCGGAGGACCGGCGGGGTGGGAGTCGGCATAATTGAGACGGTGGCTGTTTGCTTGGACGAACGGCATTGTGGGTTGGGAGTCGGGTGATAATGGGATCAATTCGAGACGACAAAGTATCAAGGAATGGAGTAATGAAGGAATAAAGAAGCGGGCAGGCTTGGAGATCTATACAAATGATAAGTGTAACGTCATTCCCGATAAGATTCTAGCTACAATAGTAATATACAAACAAATACGCACAGTGTTATGAACCCTCCATACCGTTTCTAGTCATTCCGTCGGAACAATTCAGCTGTCAGCTGCTACTCCAAAATATTTGAGACTCCCGAACCGAAAGCTTTCTGTTATATCCGAACTGGGCGGATATCACCCGACTGTCGGACCGGACCCGATAATGCCAAGACTTCCCTGGACAATGTACAGAGTATAGTGTACTTCAAAGCTGCAAGCGACAAACTGCTGCTGAAGCGATTTACCAATATCAAAATAATCATTGAGAGGGTTTTTTATTGAATTCGTCAAAAGGGTCGCCGCTTCCGTGTGCAAATGCTTCTTCAATCCAATCCGCCGTCTCATCTCGAAAGGAATCTCCAAAAGAAGACGCCAATGTGGGTCTACTGCACGGTCGATCAGACAAAGGAGGGTGTAAAAGGGTGGTGTCCTTGGGTAGAGAATGGTCTTTCGTTCCAGGACTATTTATTTGTGTGAGAATAGCTGCTTCGGCTTCAAGGAAATCGGCGGGGTCGTATTGGAAAGATTCCCCAAAAGATGATTCTAGCGTGAGCACAGCCGGGAGAGGTCGTAGATAGGGTGATTCCTTGGGTATAGAGGGGCTCTTCGTTTCTTCGTCAGTCGTTCGCGTGGTAGCAACCGTCTCGGCTTTTTTCATGACCTCTTCATCGTCAAACACCGAGCAGTCCGAGAACTCGTCCTCATCCTCGAATGAAGCCCGGGTCGCGGTGCTAATATCATGGGCTTCGCCCTCTTCCAGAATTCCTATGTCTTGAAGCTCAGATAGGTCATTTTCCAATTCCTCATCCAAGTCGTCAAAGGCATCCGATTCAGCTTCCGTATCTCCACTCGCGCTCCCCAAATCGTTATCATGTGATTCAACCTCCGTAATTATAGGCGCAGGCTCCGCTACAGTAGGTGACTGTCGCTTCCCAGCTCCTAGGAACATTGACAGCAGCGGCTGACTTGACGGGACGCGCGCTGCATTGGGATCCGGGATGCCGCGACGCTTCCGCTCCTCACGGGCCTGCGCCTCCTGCTCAGCTTTCCGTTTCTTGTTGGCAATTCGTTTCTTTTCCTTCTCGCGTAGCTTCTTCGCTTTCTTTTCTCGCTCCTCCTCGCGATCTAGCCGCGCGATCTGGGATGCGGTGAACTGGAATCGTTGGTTGCTGCGCTGGTACCGGCGTTTAACGGTCTTGGATTTCTCCAAGATGATGCGACGCGGCTCATCCGGCATAGTGGGGGCAACCGTGGCAGCGACTGCCTGCTGCTTGTACGATCATGGGGATGGAGAGCTGTGGTGAGTGGTGCCAGAAAGGATTGGAAGTGATGATGTTGCTTTTTGGGTTGGCGGTGATACGTTGTGCCGACCGCGGAAGTCAACAAATTACTAAATTGGGCTGAACCCTTCCAATGTCTATTCCAAGGTTATTGATCTATGTTCAGTGTGTTATTGGATGTTTGGAATTTGATTCCTTAATTGTATTTATACGCTAGGCTTTTGATTTGGCGACGTCATTTAGATCTTGCAGTCACGGACAGGATCCCAGCAGACGGGCTCGTACGCGTTGAGCTTCAGGCTAGCCATGTCCTCATCAGACAGTGTGAAGTCAAAGACCTCCGAGTTTTCCAGAATGCGAGACTCGGTCACCGACTTAGGCAGGGGCACATATCCCTTCTGCAAACTCCAGCGGATCAAAATCTGAGCCTCAGTCTTACCGTGCTTCTTAGCCAGGTTCTGCAGAACCGGCTCCTTCATGCGAGTCGCTTGCACGAGGGGAGAGTATGCTTCGACAACGATGTTGCGCTTCTGCAGCCACTCCGCAATATCATCGCGCGGGCACCACGGGTGGATCTCGTACTGGCCGACAGTGATTTGTCCGCCTGCTCCGCTCTTGATGTACTCTTCCAACTCCTCGAGGTGCTGGATACCAAAGTTGGACACACCCAGCGAACGGACGTGGCCTGCCTTTTGGGCCTCCACGAGTGCACGCCATGTACCGAGGCGGTCCTCCTTACCACCGTAGGGTGCGTGAATCAACATACTAATAGCCACTGTGTTAGTTTGTTTATTCGCTTTGTTTTCCGGAGAACGAGTAAGTCCATACAGGTCAATATAGCCAAGGTTTGCCGCAGCGATGCTTTCCTCGATGGCCTTCTTCGCCTTCTCGTATCCCATGGATTTCGAGGGCACCTTGCTAGTATAGAAGATCTTGGAGCGATCAAGTCCAGACGCGCGGATGGCGGCGGCACTTTCCAATTCGTTTCCGTAGACTTTGGCGCTGTCAACCTATAAAAGGATGGTCAAATCTGGGAACACTTGCTGACTGGGTTCCACGGTTGCTTACATGGCGGTATCCAAGCTCAATGGCCTTGCGGGTCACTTTCTCAGTGACATCGGAGGGACTGGTCAAGAATGAGTCAGTATAATCTGTTGCGGAGTTTTATGCATCGATAGTCTTACGTTTGGTATACCTAATTCCCAAGACAAGTGTTAGTTATATCACAGAACCTTGAGGATCAATGTACTCACTCCGAACCCAACAACGGGGATCTCGTAACCCGAGACCAACTTATAAGTAGACTGTAGCGAAACGGGAGCCATGATGTGCGAATATTTTGATGGTTGAAGAGTAGAAGATGGCAAGTGAGGGGGCTACGTTAAAAGATAAATGTTTCCACATCCACAGACCACCTCGGTCCAATACCTTCCGCCCGTTTCTTGGAGCTTGACGCCATCTAAGTGGGGAGATACGATTGTAGGGGACTAGATGCGGCTATATCAATGGCTGATCAATGCTACGTGGGGCTTGTATGAGTAATTTGGACGGACATAACCTTGGAAGGGACTTAGAACCCGGGGATAAGAATTGTCATTTTGAGTACTCTCCTGATAGGTCAATGAAGATCGGATTGTACTTGCCAATAAGAAAGTCATCGGAGCTCCAAGCTTTGAAATCAACTTTGCCCCAATCTGATCTGATTAGGGGTTGGTCTTATCGATAAGGCACAACTTGTGAATATGCCGGCGTAAAGTGATGTTCATACTGGGTATGATATATCTTGAATGGTTACAATATCAGCAATTATCTATTCATTCCTTGATGACCCACCAAAATCCAAAATTGATCCCCCAGAATAAACGTATCAGCAGAGCAAGTGATATTCTAGCAGGATAGTCGGGCGGTGATGAACGGCAGTACCCTATAGTGGGGGTTGAGTTTGGCAAGTCTAACATCGTCAATGTCCTCATATTAGGTTGATTGGCTCGAATATCCCTTGTTATATGAGCATAACAAAGATCTGGACCCTTTGATCTGGTCTCACACAACCTATCACGCCTCTAATCTGCGCATTTTTGAGGCAACATATGACGGCATCGCAATAACAACACCCAACCCGCCTTCGTCGCATTTGATCTTCCCAAACCCTCGGTCTGTAACCGGGAAATACCACCGCAAGAATGCGTTGTATCAAGAACAAAATTGAGCACAATGGCTCTGGAGCGGTGACATTGTGCCCAGACGAGCCAGAAGACATGGTATTGAAGCCCTAACTTTCTGTCTCAGCACCCCGCACTCATCTAATATACAATTCGATGAATCTAGTGGCATGCATACAACCTGATCCGACCCGGTGATATTCTTCGAGCCAGCGCAATCCGTCGAGTTACCACAGTCCAGGATACCGGGTCCACGAGCTCGGCGCGCGTTCATCTGAACCTCATAATTCGCGTGAAGAATCTCGACTTTGACCCGCAAAGCTCTCAGCTTCATGTATCAGGACAAATTATGAACGAAACACCACACACAAAAATCGGGCAATTCCATACACTCGATTTAGAGTTGAATCGCAATTTCACATTAGAAAAAGAGGTTGGGTCAGATGGAGAAGGAGTCGGATGGGACAGTATTGCCATTGAGTCACTCAAGGATGCCGTGGATGAGGGCGGGAAACGCCGTGCAGAGGCTGTTGCAGTAGTGATGCAGGAAGGACTGGCTCATATCTGCTTCATCGGCCAATTCCAGACAATATTGAAGCAGAAGGTCGAGATGTCTGTGCCACGGAAACGGCAGGGAGGAGGGGATCATGATAAAGTGAGTTTCTGTTGTTATGTCATGTGTATATTGACATAGTTGAAAACTGACACCGCATACTCCCAGGGAATGAACAAGTTTTTCAAAGTCACACTCGAGACCCTCCTTCGACAAATGGAGTTCAATACCAGTCTTACTTCAGGCGCCAACAACGAAGCTGTACGACCTGTGCTTCTCGCCTCACCAGGGTTTGTCGCCTCTGGCTTCCAAAAATATATCCAATCCGAGGCATCAACGACGACTCCTGGGCTCAAGCGACTTCTTCCCAGTCTGGTGGTTGTGCACTCCGCATCGGGGTACACAAATTCCCTATCAGAGGTTTTGCAGTCGCCCGCAGTCAAGACTATCCTAGCTGATACGAAGTATGCCCGAGAGACCAAATTGATGGACGACTTCTTAGAACAACTGCGCAAGGAGACCAACAAAGCAACCTATGGTCCCCGCGAGGTTGAGTACGCGGTTGAACAAGGTGCTGTCGGCCGAGGTGGCGGCGTGCTCATTGTTTCGAATCGCTTGTTTCGATCACAGAATATCGCTGAGCGTAAACGCTGGGTGTCGCTTGTCGACCGCGTTCGCGATGTCGAGGGTGGTGATGTGCGGATTCTCAGCTCTGATCATGAAAGTGGAAAGCGTTTGGAGGGGCTGGGTGGCATCGCTGCGCTTTTGACATTCCCTCTTGTTGAGCCAGACCTTGACTCTGATGTAGAATAGACTGGTGATTCAACGATGAATCGAAAAATACAAAGATTTATCATAACATAAGGTATAATCAAAGCATGCAATAATCAGATGACAAGCCAGGTCGCAATTCGTCAGATTGTAGATGAATAACAAACCGTTAACATCTGCTCATACCTCCACCAAACACTTGTGGTTTTGAGACTATTACATCTTCGAAACATACCTTGACGTCGTTATGTACGTGCTGCTTTTTCAATCCCACGACTAGAACCATTGTGGTTAGAACAATAGATGTTGTATCACAGGGGCGCTTTTTTGCTTGGGTGATAGCCTTTTTCGATTCATGTTCCCTGCCTATGTAGACAATCCATCAGAAGAATTGATTCAAAGTCTCCGAGATGTCCACCGGTCCTCTCTCTTTCATGACTGCTCGCTTGGCAGGACGATCTCCTCTTTCAGGTGGCTCGCTCCGCTTCTTCTCCCTTGCACGTTGCTGCTTCTCGATATCGAGCTTTTGCTTCGCAGGATCTCGAGTAAACAATACAATTGACTTTGCATTATAGCGGGAGCGGACAACAACCCGGTCTCTTCTGCTGTGGTCGACAGTGGGTAGTTTAAACTCCAAAATCGGAAGATTCGTTGGTAGGGACGATGGTCTTCTTAAATCCCCGTTCTCGGGTGTCTGAAGACTAGACTTGTACACATGAAGCAAAGCCAAGAGATTATCATCGATTGTCTTTGACGTTCCGTGGGTGTCCCAAAACCAATCGAGTCTGCAGGCTGACCATCCCTTTATGGGAATAATGCCATTCGCGGGCTTATCGTATCGTTGAATAGTCTCTGTAATGTTCTTACACTCGTACGCCACAACGAGCTGGAGCTCCGGCAGCTCACGTAGAGCTTCCAGTGCTGCGATGGTCATTTCGCATTGGTGGTAAAACCTGAGAATGCGGAGGTGCTGTAGTGCTTCAGATTCAATCCAACCACGCACAAATCCATCTTGCAAGGGGAGACCGTCGTTGCTAACGCCCACAGGATCCAGAGGGGCAATAATCGACGAGTATGGCTCACTGTAAATGTCTAGAGCAACCAAATTCTTGATATTTGGTATAGTAGTCAGGTCTGTGGCCGTACAGTAGGTAGTTGCAATCGTTAAGATTGCACGCCAGCGAAGATCGTCGCTATTAAGAACACCCATATAGTCTCTTAGTGGCTTTTTGGGAGAGCCAGCATTGAGGCAGTAGTAAGGACTGACCTCGCAGAATTGTACAGGATAAACGCTGGCCATTATTTTCCACATGTGCATAGTCTGCTTGTTGCTAGGTAGACGGTCAGATTTGAACAAACAGACTTGAGAGCGTGCTAAGGGAGTTTCAAACCCCTCCAATCATATCTTACCACTTTTTCAGGGCATCCCAAAGGTATTGTGCCAAATACCAAGGGACGTATTCAAACAGTTCAGGCTTCAGCGCCGACTGGTCCTGAAGTAGTGCTTTCATTGCTGCATGCTTGAGTGATCCAGATCCTCGATCATTTGTTGTCTCCCATCCATAGGGTAAAAAGGGAATTTCATGATACCATGTGGGACCGAGGCGTAGGAACCCGGGGGGCTGGTTGTCTTCAAGGATGATGGACATCACGGAACGGAACCATAGCCAGAAGGAGCAGGGTTTTAGTCAAAGGTTGGAGTATAATTTTCTACCAGTGCCCATAGATTATATTATAGGGCATTATGGTGTCTTCCCAAAAACAGACATCAAATATTAAAGCTGAACGCGTGTTTGGAGTCGAAGCGCGACTGATTTGATACATGCACGTGACCCTGTCTTATATCATTGTAGATCCACGGGTTTTTAGTAGCAAGCATTTCGGTTTACCCCATCAAATTCTTGCAACCTTCAAAGGAACTTGCCATGGTTTCGTCGACTCCTATTCCAGTTTTATTACACTTTGGTCATGGCACCTCCTACCTTTCTAACTAAGCACCCTGCTTATCTCCGTTACGTTCATGAAGTTACTTCTGGGGAACTTGTGATGCCGGAATACGAAAGGGTAGGTGAACTCATTCAAGTGGCCCTTAATGAGTGGGGGGGCTGACCAAGATCATATACAATATAGGATGAGAAGGGCCGTGTGATTGTCCACGTTGGCGAGCAATATTGTCGGTATCCAGGGTGCACTTCCAGCGATGTGAGAGGACCAGACCCTAAACTCATGCCCAATGCACATTAATCTATTATAGATATATGAAGGATTGTTTGGCTTACTGTTCTTAGCATCCTTACCTGACTGGAAACTTGAAGAAGCATGTAACCTGTCACAGTGAAGATCTGCAAGTTGCCGATGGTATCACAGGTCGAATCAGTTATGTTGAACAGGAGAAGGCTCGAGGTACGTTGAATAGACTGTTTTATCTTTGAGATACGAAAATAATCAACAGAATGTTTAGCTTGGTACAATTCTCTTTTTACTTCGGCTCCCGATCCGGCCGCATCCTGTACCTCCCCGGTCACGATTTCCAAGCGCAATTCCAGTAATGCCAACCGAAATGTCAAATACAATGCTTGAAGAGTACGGGGTACATTGTTTACAATGTATAAACTGGATGATGTGGGGCTGGGCGGAAGAAAGGGCTGCGGGAAAGTGGAATCGATTTCGATTCACAAACGCTTTATGAGCGCATTCTATTCGTCAACTCTTAACGATCTCCCGAAGTTTCATCCACCTTAAATTCAAGTCGTACTGATTGTTTTTTAACATACAGTAAGCTGCAATTAGAGAAAATTCTATAGAATGTATAGATGGAGAGGATTGATATGTTAATAAAATAGTATGAACATTTTAACATTTTAACAACATGTTATCGATAGTTGTGTAGGGTTAGTTCGCTTTACATTTCTCTTTTTTTCATTTCCAATATCTAGCGGGCGAGGCCGATGTCATGACTCTAGGCGAGGAGCTCATTCTCTAGTAATTGGCTCGGGTCTATAGCATAGAGGATCTCTACCTGAAAGATCAAGCGGACAAGGGACGAGATCTTTGTCTTAGGATTGGTCAAAACATAGAGTTTAGCTATGGAAACCCTAGGGACATATCAAGATCAACAGAACAGCACTAGCTACCATATCGACATTCACCACCATGCTTTTGAAACCAAGTCTATGTTCATGTATTCATACATGGGCTGGGGTCATTCATTCCTGCGTGCATAACGACTGCGTGAACGGATCTTATGCCCCTTCCAATAGAGCAAGTAAGGCACAGGCAAAAAGATTAATGAAATCCCACCCAATAGAGTCAACGTCCATGAAACACCAAGCTTCTTGTACATAGTTTCAGCGATGATCCTCATAATACCGGCAGCAACAAGCCGCGACATCTGAAGACAGGAAAGCGCGCTTGCGGCATGTGACTCGTACGCATCGGCGACGTACTGGTACCCCGAGACGAAAAGACACAACGTCCCAAAGCCATAGAATACTGAAGCGACAAGCGGGCTCCAAAAAGAAATTTGGAGTTTAGCCGTCCAGCCCATCCAGAATAGAGAGATGGGGACAGCAGGCGCACCGAACATACTCATATACAGACTGATCTCCGGGTCTGGGCGATTCTGGCCCCTCTCACGGCTGCGGTAGATCTCTCTACGGAGGAGCCACATTGAAAGTGGGACAGTCAGTGCAGAAAGAACGACTCCAACCTCAATTCCCAAGAACGCGAGGGCGGTGGAGGTCTGGGTGAAGTGGTTTGCCACCTCATAGATGGAGACATAGCCCGCGATGAAGGTGTACAGGATCATGAATAGCAGGGAGAGGGAGACCGAGTGGATCATGATAATGGGTTCCGTCAAAAAAAGCGAAAGTGGTCGATATAGTGAGGAACGCATGCGTTTGGTGAACGTGGCTTTTCTAAACTCTAGCGGGGACCGGTACCGGTCGTCGCCTGTAAGGCGGCGGAGCTCTTTCGCTTTCCAGTACAGCAGGATCGGGCTGTATGTCTCCGGTAGGAAGAGCACAACCGGGATCAGGATGAGTCCTGATAGGATTATGGTCATCCAGTCCACCCACCGCCAGCTTACCGAGTGAGCATGGACGGCGAATGATCCTGGTATTGGGCCCACCAATGCACCCGTGAAGATGATTATCGAAAAGGCAGGGAAGGTGTAGACTCGTTCAATGCGTGACCAGATGTCCACGAGGGATGCTGCTGATAAAACCCCCGGGGCAGATCCGAAGAGTCCAGCTAGGCCGCGGCAAACTATTCGCTGTACCACTGTTTGACTTAACCCTGCGCCCATGTTGAACAACATGAACCCGATCATGGTGGGGATGTACACGGGGTTGCGTCCGAAGACTTCTGATATAGGTCCTGTTATCAATGCGCCTATTCCAGTACCAATCAAAAACATGGCTGGATACTCTCGGTTAGTCTTGTTGAATTGATTCGAAGTCTTAACCACGTACCAGTCGGCAAACTCTGAACCTCAGAGCTGGTATGAAAGAATTTTTTAGTAGATGTGAAAGCAGTGGCATCGATTGTGGATGACCAGAAGATCACAAATCCAGTAAGGGAAGTGAGAATAGTCGTCAATATTCGACGTCTGAGTGACCAGTTGTGAGGGTCCATCTTATCACAGTCACCTTCAAATGTGACGATAATGATTTTGTTCCTTTTCACTGACTCAACATCAGTTTCACTATCCGTCGCATGATCAGGTGGCCAGGGTCTTTCAACACCAGTCACCATGATATCAGCTGTGTTTCCCAGTGTCTCTTCTGCATTGATGGTATGCGGATCGGTTGAGATTTCCGGGTCGACCTCGGCACCCTCGATATCTCCCTCCCGCTCCAGATGTGATCGAGCGGTATGGCGAGGATGAAGGGCCGGCCCAGATATAAAAGTGCGATGACCGTGCTCCCTCCTTCGTCCGGCAGCCAAGTCATCACCTTCCTCGCGAGGCTGGGTGTGAATTTCTCCTTCATGATAATCGTAGCGGCCCTCGTGGGTCCAGACATCCCTGGGCTTCTCATGCTTTGTAACAAATTGTTGCTCGATCTTCTGGCGGATCCTGCGGTGCTGGAGAATTGACTGCATTGTGCTTGATTTGGGGCTATGTGTTCCGGGATCGTATCCGCCTTATTACTCGAGGGTTCAGATCAGTTGAGGAAGGAGCTTCTATCTCCTCGGAGGCTCCTTGGGGGCAAAAGATGACATATGACAGTCCCCCTGAGGATGTGAAATCCGTACAGCGCCATACCCATATCACTCGGTCAGCTCTCCCGCCAATGACGGATGCCACCATATCGAGTTTAACAGTTGAACTCGTTGAGTTAATGGAGAGCTTGTAGCCTGCTAATCTTGACCATGACCAATAACGAAGCTACCTGGATTTTCCCATGAAACATCGCTACACCAAAAATATGTATTGTGCAAATGCCCAGGTTGTCTACGATGATGTCAGAAAGGCTGATGATTATCGTCATTGAGCTAATCTGCACTCCATTTTCGAAGGATAAACAATGATAGATCACAGATTCATAAGGATTAATCACAAATAGTGCACCAACCACACACAGGCCAAATATTCACTGGAACACCGAGGGTGGAATCACATACAAGGCAATTCATTAAAACACAAAAGCATGCTTCATTGAAAGCCAGACAAGCATCGTTCCTTGTCTCCATTTCCAAGTGCAATTACATCACATAAAGGATGTCGGTATCTATAGGATTTGTCAGAATTTGATTGCGGTTAAGTAACCCGAGAATCTTACCTAAGGGGTGGCTGCAGCTCAGCTGTGGCTTCTGGGTATATTTGGTTGAAAGCTCGTCACGAATGCTGTTCAAAAGCTGGACATAACTCTGCTGAGGGTTTTTCCGAAGCGCGGCGATGAAAGCCCATGACATGGCACCAGTGGCCTGGCCGGCAATCTGAGCATCCTGACTGGTCTGATCATCCTTACTGCCAGACCACATGATGACATCCGCCGGGCTTGTCTTGGTCTGCTTGTTGCGTTCATACACTTCGTCGCCCTTGGTGGCCTTCTTGATGAAGCCCATTGCGGTTGACATCATGCTGCCCATGTCACCACGCGCGTATGCCGAAACCACACCAAGCAGGCCTTGTCCAGCCTCCTTGGCCAGGTTGGGCTCCTTGAGCACACCGGAGGTGGAGTAGACGTAGGGAAGATCCAGAGCGGAGCCAGAGTGGCAGGAGTCGAAAATTGCTGTAAGACGGACACCTGGTTGTAGAGTCTGCACCATGATACGGTGCATCTCATCATCAACGATGTGCCCTGCAACCCGGAAGTCCACCGGGTAGATAACTTCATCATATCCATCCTCTTCGTCACCATCCAAGTCGGGGGTCTGACCGCCGTGGCCTGCATTCTTGTTAGTTCCCCGCGATAGAAGCGATTGAGGCGTGGTTACTCACCAGAGTAGTGGAAGAACAACGAGTCATTGGGACGCGCATCCTTGATCAGCCAGTGCATAGCCCGAAGAATGTTTGCCTTGGTCGGCTGGCTCATCGGGTTTTGCTGGTCATCGGTCAAGAGGACCATGTCCTCGCGAGCGTAGCCGAAGTTTTGGTTCAAGTAGGTCGACATGTTCTTCACATCGTTGATACATCCGCGCAGCTGACCTTTCTGTCCGAAGTAATTGATACCAATCAACAAGGCCTTTCTCTTACCCGTACAGCGGGAGTATTGGAAGCTGTAGCCTTGGGGAGCGCCGTGACCGAAGGAGACGGGATTGCTGGGAGGGGGGGCTGGACCGCCGCTTTGGCCGTAGGCTGAATTTGCGCATCATTAGCTTTCATTGCTGAAAATATGGCTCGTTGGAAAATGGTAGGCAAACCTGGTCTTCCTTGAATTTGTTGCCCAGAGGGCGGGCGCTGATTGTATCCAGACGGCGGAGCCTAGAAAGGATTGATACATGTCAATCTCGTGTATATTCAACACAAGTCTCATCATGACATACATTGTAACCCTGCTGAGGAGCATGTCCGCCGTAGGGCTGTTGAGATGGCTGGGGCGAATGGCTGTAACCGTACGGGTTGGATTGCTGCTGCGGCGGCTGCTGCTGCTGGTGCGGCTGCTGGTGGTAGGACTGGCCGGGATAGCCGCCATAAGATGGCTGCTGCTGGTGATTCATTTGTCTGCCATCATATATTTGTCAGATTCTCAAGTACTTTCTCAATAGAGCCAAGGGATAAGCAAGCATACGGGTACTGCTGTTGCGGGGGATATGACGGCTGCTGCGGGGGATATCCCGGAGCGCCCGAGTAGGGTGGATAGTAAGACATCAGAGAAATTCTCCAAGTCCACCCAGGAAATCAAGCAAAATGCAAAGATTGACGGAGTAGAGGACAGAACGCGATGTTGAATGTGGAGAAGGGGAGATTCAAGGCAAAACAGATCGGAAGTACGGCTGGCGCCAAGCCTTGAAGAGTGCGACAAGGTAAATTGACAGCAAATGTCCAAAGAATAAAAGATCAAATGCAAGAGCTTAGGTGATTCGGGGAATTAAAACAATGAAGAGAGATATTTGGAGGGGATCGTCAGACTAGAAACTCGCCACTTACACTATAAGAGGTTCGCGTCCACTATTTCCTTATAAGGCTATCTCGGATTGGCACTAGACACTAGACAATCAAAGATATAGATAAAAATAAGAAGAAGAGGGAAAAAAGGCCAAAAACTAATGTAATCTGGACTGAGTTTTATATATCTGACATGGGTTCATCGGCAGCCCCGATCAACCCCTGGAAGCCCAAGACCCAACTTCGTCATTGGGCTTCGCTAATATTGTCCTTGTAGATTTTTACTCATTTTTATAGGGTTTTGTACTCCGTACAAGGAGAAATAAAGTACGGAGTACAGAGTACATAGATCATACATACGAGATACAAAGTAGATTGCCCTTCTGCACGTCATACAGCCCAAGGAGATTCGATACCATTGTCTTGGCGTCGAAAATGAGCCAATGAGATACGAAAATGGGTGAAAGGTCTGAAGTAGACATTGATTCCAAATAAAACAATAAAACAAGAGAAAAGCAAATAGTACGGAGTACTCCGTGTGTCCTTAGTATATTCTCGGATCAGCTTGGCCTCGGAAGGAAATCTGATATATCACATGCATGCAATTAATGAAGTTCAAGGAATAAGAAATACTTTCATGAGGACTATGTTTATATTGTATGTACTTGGAAAGACTGTGTTGTTAAGTCGGGTTATCTCTAGCAACTCGTCTTCTATTCTCCCTGTACTTCATATTCAATATTCATCTCACAAACACCGGCCTTGAAGCCACTAAGGGCAGAGCAGACTTGGCTTCAACTGCTTCGCGGCCTTCAATCATGCAGGTGTCCTTCTTTTTTTGGGGGGAATATCATCGAGCATTATCCAGTTCAGGTCAAACTCGTTTATCCTCGTCGGGGCATGCCACGGCCACGGCCCCGGAGGGCGCGCTGGGCAGCACCTGGCGGCATACCGCGCTGTTGACCAGGTTGAGCCGACTCCTCATTCTCTGTTGATGAGAAAGTATGGGTTAGTCATGATGTGGAGGATGGAAAGGAGAAAAAAATGGTTAATAGGTCACTTACTTATCGTTTCGTCCACACTCAGGATCAAGCAAGAGGCTTCCACTGCGGCCTGAATAGCATTGACCTTGACCAGGCTGGGCTCCCAAACAAAGGCAAGCATGTTGTCACGGACGCCCTCGTTGTCGAAGTCGACACCAGCCCAGGTGTTACCCTTGCGGTGCTCCACACGCAAGCGGTTCAGGATATCTGTAGCGTCGAACCCAGCGTTATCACACAGCTGGCGGGGAATAACCTCCAGGGCCTTGGCGAATGCCTTGACAACGGCCTGCTGCTTGTGCGGGACGTTACGGTCGGCAAACCCGTGCATGTAGCTCGACAACTCCATTTCAGTAGCACCACCACCAGCAACGATGGTTGTGTTGCGCAGAGCACGCTTAACAATCATGATAGCATCGTGCAGACTACGCTCCACCTCCGCAATGAATTGCTCAGCGCCACCACGCAGCACAAGAGTGCAAGTCTTAGCGCGAGGGCAGTCGGAGAACAAGTTGAAACGCTCTCCACCAATCTGGCGCTCCTCGAACGCACCACAGGTACCCAGGTGACGCTCTTGAATGTCAGTGCAGGTCGATTGAGTTGCAGCTCCAGTAGCCTGGCAAACACGGTCCATGTCGTCGGAGGCCACACGGCCAGCACAGAAGATGTCTCGGTCCGCGAAGTACCTACAAACCAAATCATTAGTATCTAGACACATACCCCATAGCAGATAGCAAGCACGTACTGTGTAGCAAGATCGCCAATAGGCAGCTTGCTAAGCACGACCTTCGCTCCTGTCTTGTAGACAGCCTCAAGCTTGTTGAAAATAATCTGCCACTCAGCATCGACGATGGCCTGGTATTCCGAGACCTGCTCGACACGGACTTCCGCATTGTCCTTCTCACTCTTAAGCTCCAGCTCGACGTTCAAGCACACGATATTGGGGTTCTCAAAGTGTTTGGGCTGCTGCTCGAAACCGGCGTAGGAGAATGTTTTCTTGAAGGCGACACCGTCGACGAAGAGCGAATCCTGGAGACCACCACCGGTAACCTTCTTGACACCGATCAACCTCTCATTGAGGTCATCCTGGTCCAGCGAAAGTACCGCATCCACAACCACTATGATACCATCTCGTCAGACTTGGGGCAAAATTGGAACCACTGGGTAGGGGATCCTCACTCTTTGTGAAGAAGTCCGAATTGCGCTTGATAAGCTTGCTGTTCATGGCTGTTGCGGCTAACCGTCTTAGTGTCTCGACCTTCTTCTCATGGGTGACTGAAGCATCCATCGTGTCCACTGCAATCTCCTTAACCTTGTTGACTGCCATGGCGCTCGCCCTCCGCAGACCCTTGATGATGGTCTGCGAGCTGACACCCTGCTCAACGAGGTCTCGCACCTCCTTCAGAATCTCACCGGCCAGGACAACTACGGAGGTTGTTCCATCACCGACTTCGGCATCTTGGGACCGAGCGATATCAGTGAGAATGCGGGCGGCGGGGTGCACGATATCCAAAAGCTATCAAATACACGAATGTCAGAATCATCAACTCCCTCCGGTCACTCCGGTAATATGCTGGTATCAATAGCAAGACGCACCTTCATCACTGTGGCTCCATCGTTTGTAATGGTCTGTCTGCCATTGGCATCCACAAGCAGGAGATCACCACCGTAAGGACCGAGAGTGCTTTTGACTGTTCCTTGCACTGCGACACAGGCGTTGATGTTGGAGATAATCTGTCCCTTTCCCTGAGAAGCATCGGTGCCTATAGATTGCAAAGCAGCAGTAGTTAGCATAAGTTACAGAATCCCACCAACAAAACTGCCCGCGCTGGAGACAACACATACCCTCCTTCAACACGACAATCGTCGGGGTTTGGCCGTTGAAGGCCATTAGATCGGTATTCGGAGACGAAACCGTTCAATAAAAAAAATAAAGAAATAAGAAAAGGGGTATGTTGAGTCGAAAGGTCGGAGGGGTTGATCTGCCAAAATTTCCCAGAGCTCCTGTTCCCCAAAAACCCCCCAGTCGCGCAAGGCGGTGACCAATCAGGGCTCCTCAACCCTACGCAGTTAAAGAGGTGTACATATTTTACATTGAATGTAGAGTTTCTATGATATATATTGAGATATCTCATTCGAATAATATACCTAAAAAGAAGCGTAGTGTATGTAGCCTAACCCGTCGTTTCGCTGTCCACGGCACAATAGTGGTGGAGTATCAGCAGTATCTCAGACCGATGCCTCGACGCCAATAGAACCATAGAAAGAAAAGAAAGAAAAAAAGTAAGGTTAAGACAGAAAAATCCCGAAATAAAAGAACGCCCCGAAATGAGAAACCGAGATGAAAAGTTGAGGCTTGTTCACGTAAAGTCATAATTCCCGTCCGAGGGACTTCCATACTCGAACTTAGAGAGTAACTCAGCATCATGCTGTAACTCGTGTGGGGGTGGGTTCACAAGTCCAAGCACGTCTTGTCGAAAGGGATCCGAGCCGTCATCTACCATCATTTGATAGGCATTGCTGGCTGTGTGGTAGCGCATTGCATCGTCAAAGCTTGACATGCCGAGATTGTGCGGCCCCGGGGCGAACTGGCCCGCCATAGGGTTCTGTTGTTGGTAGCGTCGTAGCTGTTGGTGTAGTTGCATAATCTGAGGATCGAGGGGCATGGGTGCGAACCCAGCCATGGGGTGGACTGTGCCGGGCATAGCTGCAGGAATGGGTTGGTGCATAAGAGGGTTGTAACTGGAAGGCTCGTCGGGGGATTCGTCCATCGCCTGCGGGACATTGACCGGTTCCTTCTGGGGTTGCTCCATTGTGCTATCCATATCCATGCCAGACACTGTTTCCGAGGGTGATTTATCTTCTTCTTTGCTGCCTGGTATGGGTGGCGCCTTGAGAGTCTCTTTGCATTGTGGACAGTCTCGAATCACCCGATTGACAGTCTCTTTGATTCGTACCCAATGGTATTTGATCGCAATAGCTGCCGTGGTTTTGTTGATTCCGGCATGTTGCTTGAGATGAACTTCTTGGGCGATATCGTACTGCTGCTGCGGGTCTGACACCACCTCCTTATCCTTCAGCATCAGCCTCTCGGGCTCCCCATCCTCGCCGCCAAGAAGTTTATAATGAGTTGCCGCACTGCGAAGTCGACTCTTTTCCGCCCGATCAGCACCACGGGGGTACTTCCCGTGCTTCAAATAATACCGGATTTTCTCAAAGCGATCCTGGGACACAGAGTCCTCGCCATCTAAACTGAGGCCTCTACCGTAGATGATTGCATCGACAAACTCTCCAGGTTGGGATTTGATACTACCTCCACCTGGGACTCGGCCAATCCGTTTGAAGCCAAGGGAATCCCACAGGCGACATGAAGCAACGTTGGACTCATATACCAAGTTAAAGACCGCATATGTATATCCCTAGTAAACATTAATACAGAGTCCGTTCGAAGCGATTGCGGTGAAAAACTCACGAGGCGAGGTGCCCACTCGAGATAGGATTCGCCCATCAATCTACCCACACCCTTATTTCGAGCAGCATCGGTGACAATGAAAGTGCCATTGCAGACATGA